TGGGGGGTGCTGGGAGGAACTGGGAGGGAGTTTGAGACAGACTGGTTTAAACTGGGGAAGGGATTGATGTGCTTAGGATGGCTGGGAAGGGGTTTGAAGGATGCTGGGGAGGGTGGGATGAGGTTCTGGGGGTCCTGGTGGACACTGGGAGGGAGTTTGGGGGTGCTGGGTGTCACTGGGAGGGATTTGAGTGAGCCTGGAGGAGCTGGAAGGAGATTGGGGATTGGAAAGCAGGGATTGGGATGAGGTCGGTTGTGCTCGGAAGAGAAGGGGAGGGGTCTCAATGAGTCCTGGTGGGGCTGGAAGGGACTGGGAGAGGGTTTGGGGGTCCTGGGGCAGTGGGGAGAAATTGGGAGGGGGCTGTGGGATCCTGAGAGGAACAGGAGGGGCTCTGGTGGGTCCTGGGGAGGCTGGGAAGAGACTGGCAGTGATTTACCAAAATAGCAATATTGATCCAGTATCAACATCAATCTGTTAATGGACAAAAAACCTCTCCAACAGTTTAAAGTTACAAAGTGGATGTTTAATCACAGCACTGGGCGAGTGTGGGAGTCATCCCTTAATACGCACTGCAAGCTGACAAAAGATTCCAGTGTCTATTTATGTACAAAAGTCTTAAATATCCAAAATACTAATACATATACATAATGCTAACATCTCCCATGCTCCACTTCAGATTAATATGCACTGTAATGATTTAAAATGACATTATGCCTGCATGGTTTGCTCCCTAATTTGAGGAAGAGGTCGTTTTGGTGAGGAGGGGTCATCAAGAGATGAAGGAAAACCGTTCTTATTCACTCTCACCTTTCTACCTTTACAATGGTTGACATTACAAATGACATTTGGTACAACTCCAGTTTCCTCCCTTGTGACTTGGAAATGGGTTTCCAGATGTAAGGTCTGTGATCTTCCTGAACGGTTTCCAGATGTAAGGTCTGTGATCTTCCTGAACCCATTTATCAGTTTCTCTTTTCTCATTATAAACACAGCTAAACAAACATACAATGAAAAGTAATTTTTTACCTAAGTCCAAGATTCATTATCTCAAATCCTGCTTCTCACTTCATCATTAACTCTAACTACTTCCAGCAAGGCCTATCTCTAGCTAAGATCTCAAATTTTTCTAAAATTCTTCATTTTTTAAAATTAGTGACTCCAAAGGAGGTTTCAGACGGTCTTGGGTGGGCTGGGGGAGACTGGGAGGGTCCTTGGAGGAGCTTGAGGTGTCTGTGAGAGGTTTTGGAGGTCCTGACCTCTGCAGACCACCCAGGGATGCCATGAAATGCTGCCCACAGCAAGATGCTGACGGGGATTGGGGACTCCGTGTTGGGTTTCGTCTTCCTGGTGCAGGGGCTTGGCTTCTACCTGAGCAAGAATGTGACAGGGGGTCCCTAGGTTGGGATATCCCCTCCCCCAGAGTGTGTGTGCTCTCCTCAGGGACCCCAAGCCTGGTGTCACCCCCTTTTCTCTGTCCACAGAGCTCCTGAAGCAGCAGCAAAAGGTTCTCTAAGATTGAAAGTCAACAAATCCACTCTCCCCAAGGAATTCCCATTGTTGGTCTCTGTCCTGATGGACTTGCATCCCCTGATTTCATCCAGGTGCCCACAGGGAGCCAGGAAGATGTGGAGCCTCCCAGCCAGGTGTCTTCCCAACACGCATCACCAGGACCACGGATCACCAGGGCTCTGCCCAACGGGGGTCACTGGGGATCATCCAACGCCCATCCTCCCATGGGGGATGGAGCTGGAGCAGCGCACGAAGCTCTTCCCACACTCGGGGCACTCGCAGGGCTTCCCTTACTGGTGACTCCGTTGGTGTTGGGTCAAGTTAGAGCTGGTGGAGAAGCTCTTCCCACACTGGGGACACTCGTAGGGCCTCTCCCCAGTGTGGATGCGCCGGTGGGTGGTGAGGGCGGAGTTGTGCTTGAAGCCCTTCCCGCAGTCGGGGCAGCGGAAGGGCCTCTCGTCTGTGTGAATCCGCTCATGTAGGAGGACATGGGAGCTGGTCCGAAACCTCTTCCCACACTGGGGACACTCGTAGGGCCTCTCCCCAGTGTGGATGAGCTGGTGTGCCCTCAGGTAGGAGCTCCACCCAAAGCTCTTCCCACATTCCAAGCAGGTGTAGGGCCGTTCCCCTGTGTGGATCACCTGGTGTCTCATCAGGTTAGAGATCTCTCTGAAGCTCTTCCCACATTTCCCACACTCATAGGGTCGTTCCCCAGTGTGGATCACCTGGTGCCGGATCAGGTGGGAGCTCTGGCTGAAGCTCTTCCCACATTCCCCACACCCGTAGGGCTTTTCCCCAGTGTGGATCCTCTGGTGCTGGATCAGGTGGGAGCTCTTTCTGAAGCCCCTGAAGCCCTTCCCACATTCCAAGCACTTGTGGGGCTTCTCCCCCAGCTCTGAGCTCCGGCTGGATCTCTGGCCGTGTTCCTGGCACTGGGGGGATCTTTCCTCCTCGCAGCTCCCTGGGCTGTGTTTGCAGACCCTCCTTATGCGGGATCTCTGGGGCTTTTCCTCCTCCTCTTCCATTTAGACACGGTATGAAAATTCCTGATTAGGAGGAAAAAAAGAGAGGAGAGCGCCTTGGACTGGGGGTTCCTCCATGCCCAAGTTCATCTCAGAAAGTTATTGGGCATCTTGTGTCTGTAAGAACCAAAACACCAAGATTCAGCCCAGACATCCTCCAAACATCAAAACAAAGATCAAAACCTACCCAAACACGAAATTCAGGCAAAACCCCCTCCAGAATAGAAAGATTCAGCCCCTGCAAAAAGACAAAGCACCAACATTAAGCCCAATAAAGATCAGAAACATCAAGATTCAGCCCAGTGAAAATTGTGGATCCCCCTCTCCAGTCACCTGCTGACTGTGGGCAGGGAAACACTCCTGGGACTGCACACACAGGGAGGGTGGAACCTTGTGCTGCTTCCTCTTCCTGCTCCTCCTCCTCTTGTGTTCCAGCACTTGCTCACACCTCTTCCTTCTTCTTCTGTAAAACCCGAGATAGATACTTTGACCATTTTGTTCTTCAGCCCTGCTCCTCCTTCCCTTCTCCTCCTGCCCCCAGGCCCAGCACCCACTGCCGCCTCCCTCTTCCCCCCCAGTCCCACAGCATCCCACCGCAGGGGCACGGATGCAGCTGGGCCAGCTCGGCCTGGGGCAGCGCTGGGCTCTCGGCCGCTTCCGCCCGCACTCGCTCCCCACTGCAGCCGCTCCCGCC